AAAATAATATTTAGAAAACAAGGAGAAAAGGCCCAAAATAATATTTAGAAAATTGGGAAAAATAGGTCCAAAAATAAATTTTTAAAGAAAAAAGCTCAATCCGCAAACTGCCCGCATATCCGTGAACCCTATCTGCACAACCCATAACCTGTACTGCAAGCAGTTGCGGGTTCAATTTTTCCCAAAATGCATACATGAATAGGTCCAAACTGCAAACCAAACCGTTAAAAACCAATTCATGAGCACCCCCACTCACAACTAGGGCTGCAAATGAACCGAGCTATTCGTTAAGGGCTCGAATATTAGGCTCGTTTAGTAAACGAGTCAAGCTCGAACTTGCATAAGCTCAGCTCGTTTATTTTTATTTAAATTATATAATAAATGTATTATTTAAATATTAAATAATATAAATAATATTAAAAAAATTATCGAGCCGAGCCGAACTGAGTTAAGCTCGAGTTTCATTAATATTATTGAGCCGAGCCAAGCTTAAACTCAATAAGTAAACAAGCCGAGCTCGAGCTCAAGCTCAGCAAAGCTCGGCTCGGCTCGGCTCGGTTCATTCGCAGCCCTACCCATAACCATTGGTTATGACTTTCACATTTTCATGGACTTTAAATTTAGGATACTTAGGGGAAAATACAAATCAATGGATTTTTTAAACTTAATTATATATTAATGATAAATTTTATAAATATTAATAATTAATATTATATATTTTTTTTCCATATATTTGATTTTTTTGGCAAAACCCATTGTGCTGTAGATTCTCCTTAAATTTATACCATAACTGAACTTTCAAATATTGCTAAAATTATCCCAAATTTAAAATCTAGAACAAATAACATTGGTAGTTTCTATACTTCAGTCTTGTGTCATTTTAATTTCTATAATTTCAATTGGCTCAATTTTGATAATGAATTTATGATTTTGTTTTAATTTGATTTAATTGATTAAATTATTAGCTATATATATATATAGATATAATACATGAATAATGTGGCATGCTTTTATAAGTAAAATTATAAATTTGTTAAATGCATTCAATCAATTTAGTAACTTTTTTTAAAAAAAAAAATTCTAATCGATAGTATCAATTGAACCAAATTAATATAAAATTTAAAATTAAAAGTTAAAGTTAAATTAATTAAATTATAAGAATTAAAATGACACACGGATAAAATTAAAATGAAAGGAACTAACAAAATAATTTATCCTAAAATCTATCATATAAATTTAAACTTGTGTGCCACAATAGAAGGAGGCTTGTCTTTAAATTTTAAATCCAGGATGAGTAGTAATATAATAAGTTTTAATTTTGAATTGAAAATAAGGGATTTTTTTTTAAGGTCCCTGGTATTAAGATTTTATAGTATAAAACACACTAAATATTTTCATAATGTCTAAGGTCCCTCAATTTGATCCAGAGAAATTTCTCTCTAGAGAAATTCTCATCTAGAGAAATTTCATCCAAAGAAATTTCTCCCCAGAATTTCTCTGGACCTCTGAATGTGAACGTGGTAAGAATGCAAGCATCAAACAACACTGATTTTCTTCTATTTCCCCTAACAGCAACAGGTTTAACTACTGTATCAACATCAAGGATACTGCAGGCATGTTTGTGCACTTCATCACATCATGTTTTCTCTTTTCAACATCATTTCTTGAAGCAAAGTATATCCATGCATGATTTGCAGCTGGAGAAATATTTTTCAACAGGGAATATTGATATTGCTTCGTGGAAGTTTGAGACCACCAAATACTACTGCATTGTCATTGATGCTCCTAGCCATCGTGATTTCATCAACTTCAACACTAGTAGTTTTGAAGCCGGTATTTCCAAGGATGGTCAGACGCCTAAGCAGTATGATTTGCTTTCCTTCACTCTTGGTGTCAAGCAAATTAAGGAAATTTCTCTGGCCTTTTCCATAGAAATTCCTGAATTTCTCTAAATGAGAATTTCTCTGGAGAGAATAAGAGATGAAATCGAACTGCTTGAAGCTTAGTGAGATGACGTAGCGATCAAGTAGAGAGAGAGAGAGAGAGAGAGAGAAAGAGAGAGAGAGACATGAACGTGAGCTGTGAAGAACTCATATTCATCTTCTCTGTATATTGGATGAGTCACATTATCTAAAACCTAATCTCCTTTGAAGGGGGTTCAAACCAGTGTAAATTACACATGACAGATAAAATTAAACATGGCAGAGAATTTCTCTCCAAAGAAATTCTAGGAAGGTCAGAGAAATTTTGGATTCCAATCTAGAGATTTTCTCTGGATTTTCAGAGAATTTCTCTGGATTTTCTCTGAATTTTCTTTGGTTGAAACTATAAAGCATAAAGTTTGTTTGGTTGCCAAGAAAAATAAGTGAAAAATAATTTTCATTCACAGAATACTATGCTAATTGATGATAAGTACCAAATTAAACCACATCTTTCCCCCTTTTCAAGCACAGCATTGTATCTTCATTATCTCATTATGATTACTAAGCGAATGAATAAAAAGAAATATATATATATAAAAAAAATTAGATACTTTCAACTGAACTTAATAATTTCATATCATAATAAGCAATGTGCATTAAAAGCAACTGTGGCTCAGCATTACAATAACAAACAACACAATTTACAGCATAAAACATCAATATTCACCTAATTTAAGCACCAATTCTTCAACTTTCAATTTCAAATTTGGTAAACGCAAGTGCATATATATAGTATTATGTACCAGGATTAAGGCTAGAATCCATGGCGGAGAAAACTGACAATGCCAAGTCAACAATGTTCCGATTGAACGCAGCATATATGATCAAACAACAATCTGAACTGCTCACAACACCACCACCACTTGGATTCAAGTTTTCTTCAATCAAATCCAAGGCTTCATTTGCATTTTTCGATGCAGAGACTCAGTTAAACAAGTCATCATCATTATTGAACAATTCGGAAACAAAGGAGGGCTCGGCGTAGAGGTCGAAGATGGCGCGGGAGAAGCGGAGGAAGCTGAATTTGGACTCGAATTGGATGATCTTCCATACGACACGAGATCTGTAGCCGTGTTCTTGTGCTAGGTGGTAGTATTTGTCCAAACGATACTTGTCCTTGACTTTGCCCATCTCTTCTCTCTAGGGTTTCGGAGAGAGAGAGAGAGAGGAAGTGCTACTCTGCAGTAAAAGAGAAGAGACAACGAGTCAAATTTCTCTGATATATGTTTAGGGACCTTAGACATCAACAAATAATTTTGTGGATCTCTTTCATTACTAAAAATGGGAGATGGACTTTAGACTAATTTTCCCTTGAAAATATATCTTCTATATTGCTTAGGTTGTGAAAGTGTTCTTTATTACATCAATAGTTATAGGTTCAAATCTTGTGTCCTCTTGTTGTTAACTAGTATTTTTTTCCCCTTTTGGATGGAGAAATTGACACTTGATAAGAGTATTTTATAATTTTTCGAAATGAAGTGAATAGTTCACTTTTAATAACAATATAGATAGATAAATATAGAAAAATAACCAACTTGTTTTTTAGATTCAATGATGTGTAAGTGAGATAATTAACTAATAATATTAGAGAAAATCTGAAAGTGAAATTTGCCTTAGATATTTTAATATACTGCCACATTATTGGATTTGAAAAGTAAATATTATTTTTGGCAAATTACACCAATGGTCCCTACGCTTTGTCCATTGTGTCATTTTGATCCCTCCACTTTCAATTGACTAAAATTTGACCATTAATTTTAGATTTTATTTTAATTTGATCCAATTGATAATGTCAGTAGTGCTTTTGACGAAAAATTGTCAGTGAATTGGTTGAGATTGACTCACTGAGTTGAGTAAGTTTATATTTTTTTTTCCCTTAAAATTATGACACATGCCACTTATGTACGTATTTTTCGTAAAAAAAAATATTAAGAGTTATAATCAATTAAATCAAATTGAGACAAAACCATAAATTTATAGTCAAAATCGAGCCAATTGAAATAAAAGGGACCAAAATGACACAAGAACCAAAATAGAGGGACTATAATCGTAATTTAACCTATTATTTTTTAAGCGAAGTACAATCAAGCAGTCTATAACATCCAAGTATGACGATAACCAGTCCATACGGTTCGAATCATCAAAACTAGACATATTTTTAGACCTATGAACCCTTCAAATTTTGTCATGTTGAAATCTCAATATAAGATAAACCCAACCTGTAGAATTTGTATATTGGGATTTACCATTTTAAAATAAAATAACCATTTATATAATATTTAATATTCTTGTAATAATTTTTGTGTATTAATTTTTGTATGATTTTCAAAAAACTTATTTTAGAAAAAAATTTTAAAATAAAAAATTAATTTGGTAAAAGAAAAAAAAATTATTATTTTTATATAATTTTATCTTTTGAAAAGTCAAAAATATTTTTAAAAAATTAAAATTATATTTTTGATATTTATTTTTATCAAATTAATTTTTATTTATTTATTTTTAAAATTTTTGATTTTCTTTTTTCTTTTTTTTTTCTCAAACACAAACCAAACATCAATATTGTTGATATTCTCGTTTCCCTTTCACCTACCCCCTTATTGTTCTACCCCCTTATTGTTGTTGTGTGGAGTTTCCTTGAAAACTCCACACATAATTTATAGTATTTGTATCTCATATCATCATCATCATATGTGTCGTTCTTGACCTTTCCACTTCTCTCACTTCCTATAACTTTGATCCTTTGTCTTCTTTACATGTACAAATACATCCACAATACACATACAAAATATATAGAGAGAGAGAGAAAGAGAGGAGAGAGGAACCTTCTTTTACTTGCTGATAGTGTGAAGGAAGGTACACTGGCTCCACACAAATGCTTCTTTACATTATATTCATATGTTTTGGACGACGACCATGCTTTGGTAGTATTGACTTGGCGTCAAGACGCCCTCCTCTTTTTCTTTTTTTCTTTCTTTTTCTTTCATAACATACTTTCGTTACGCGGAACTGTACGACAATGCCTTTTTGATTGGAGGTTTGGAACCTTAAAAGCAAAGCCAAATAATTACGTATAATTCTTTATCAATGGACATGCACTAGTTCTTTTCTTTCTTTCTAAATGGACATGCACTAGTTCTTTTCTTTCTTTCTAAATAATTAGGTATAATTCTTTATTCTTCATCTCAAGTTTTTTTCATAACTTCTCTAGGAAGCAATCCCTTTTTTTTCTTCTTCTTCTTCTTCTTCTCTGTCTCTCTCTTTGGAACACACATACAATCCAATTTCTGTGTTTGATTTTTTCAGGTTTGTATTGTGTTTTTGAGAGCTGAGAGAGGGAGAGAGAGAGTGAAAGCGGGTTTGATTTTGTTGGAGTTGATCATTTTGGGAAGCAAAAGTAGAAAAGATGATTGGAAGGAGTAGTACTACTGTGAAGAAGAAAGAACCCAAGAAGGACAAGGGTCAAGGCTTGATAGATGTGGTGTTTTCTTGGTCTCTTTCTGATGTTCTCAACAGACATCTTTACATGGGCAAGGTTTGGATCCACTTTGTCAATTTATTTCTTTGCCCTCTCATTAAAATTGTGAAAAACATGTAGTTCATATATATATGATGTTTATATGTGTATATCAATAGTCATTCATTGATCATCTAACTCTCACACTGATGTGGTGATCCTGGAACAATACTTTTCGTGGGATAAGTGAGAGAGATGATCAGCTCCGTTCATTTTTCTGAAAAATTCTTCATTAATTAGAAGTAATATGCACATGGGACTACTCAATTATTTTTCATCCATTTGTCATTTCTTATTGGCTAAATTGAATTCAATTAATTTTGTTGTCTTCTTAATTATAATGATTTGCTAAAGTGCTATTAATTGTGCCAATTGATCAATCAGTGTCGCCAACCATAAATAAATAAATAAGGGGAGAGCTTCTCTCTTGTCCTTGTGGACTGAACAGGGCAGTGCTTTTGGGCCGTGGAACTCACCACGGGTTTTATTTCGATGATAAGAATCATTTAATATGTAGAGTTTGTCGAGTAATTCATCACTGCAAAAAATCACGATGGTCGAATTTCAACTACTCCTTGATCATATCATATTTTTGTCAATGGTAAATATAATTTTAAAAATAAATTGTTGAAAAAAATATATTCTAATCAAGTAATCAGATATCTATCAATATCTGATCAAAGTGATTAAACGGTTTGGATTATCAAAATAAGACTGGTCTCACGACTGGAGAAAAGCCTTGCTTAATAAATAAAAATTTGATCCATCCGTGTCTGACAATAGAAAATGAAACTGATCGGACTGCACAACTCTTGGTGTCTTCTTCTTTTTTTTTTTCTTTTTTTCTTTTTTTCAGACCGTAGAAATTAATTATTAATATAAGATAAATTATATCAAACTATGTAATTATAATTCAACAATATATAATTAAAAGTTGAAACAATCACAAGAAAGAGTCCATAATATAACAAATAATTCTCGTAATAGAAAAAATATATTCAATTTTTTGCCTACTCCTGCCTCCCAAATTAGAGTCTTTGCACATAGCCTCTCTATCAAAAGTGCAGAAGAGCAGCTGAAACACTGTTAATTTTTCATCAGTTAAAGTACCTAATCACATTTTAATCTATATACTCCAAAGTTAGTCTTTATTTAACTTATTTATCTATACAAATTATTTAAAAATCTTTCCAAAACTCTCCCAATGTAACTAGATATAATATTTTTGTTAAAATAGTTAATGTAGTAGCTAGCCTGTTACATAAAATAAATTAAGATAAGACTAGACTATTAGTTACTATGGTTTGATTGTGATTATTTCTATGATTAATGCAGCAAATAGAAAGATGCATTCAGGACTAATGCAAACAAAAGTGACATGAATCGTAGAACTGCTCTGAGAAAAGGGCCCATCAAGCTATTCAACATGAACAAGTGAAGTCTGTTTTAAATTTTGAATTTGTTTTTATTTTATTTTTTTGACAGGTCAAGCAAATTCCAATGACATATTTATCAACTGATCACTACATGAAGTCATTCATCAACCCACTTATTGAAGAAACACGTGCTGATTTGTTATCATCCCTGGAAAAGGTGTCTCGTGCACCAATCTGTGAAATATTGTCTGTTGAATTGTCCAAAAACTACAATCCTCCAAAGGACTTGTACTACAAAATCTTACTGAAGAGAAACAGAGAAAACACTGCAAATGATCACGAAGGAAGTTATGAGCCAGAGTTTGGAGACCTCATTGCCTTGACAGAAGTCAGACCCAAATGCATTGATGATCTCAACAGGCCTAAATCACCTTATCTTGTTGCGCTCGTTCATAGAGTGAAGGATGAATATGATCAGGATAAGCTTACAATTAGGACTTCAAATCCCATCACTTTTGAAGCAGATAAAGAAATGGATAAGAAGATTAAGAAGAAGAAAAGTCTTTTTGCTGTTTATTTGACAAACATGACGACTAATGTTCGGATATGGACAGCATTGAACTCAGAGCTGGAAGGGGCAAACTTGAACATCATCAAAAGAGTTCTTCGAACTGAATCCATAGTAAGAATCACACTTCATTTTTTGTGTTTTTGTGTTTTGTTTTTCAATTCATTGCCAAGTTTATTGAATCTCCTTTATGTTTGGGATGGTATCGCTTATGTCACATGGACTTGTGGTGTGGGTGCATATTTAGGGGCTTTTCAATAAAATATGCACAATATATGCCTATGTTAATCGCATTTATTAACATAAAATGATTTTACTATCACAGACCTCTGCTGCTAGGCTTGCACATGTAAACACCACCCCTCTCATTTATATTTTCATAACATTCTTTCCTTACTTGATTCAAACTAAGTACTATGTAAGTGAATATATTTATATCAAGCATAATTCTTTTCTTGTTTTAGGGAAACAGTTAGCCTCGTGCATTGGGTCACCCTTTTATCAATTTTATTTTATTTTTAAATTTAACTCTTTACAGATCGAGGCAGATTGTACTCAGTGCGTCTCTCAAGTGAATGAGAGTGTTGCTTTACCCAACACAAAGAATTGCATCAGTTCTTTCAAGCTGGATAATTCCCAAAAGGCTGCTATTTTAAGTTGTGTCGCTACGAGGGAATGCCATCATCAGAATTCTGTCAAACTAATTTGGGGCCCACCAGGGACTGGGAAGACAGGGACAGTCGGTGCATTGTTGTTTGCTTTGTTGAAAATGAAATGCAGAACACTGACTTGTGCTCCAACTAACATTGCAGTGTTGGAAGTCACAACTCGGCTTGTGAATTTTGCAAGAAATTCACTTCAGTATGATACTTATGGGTTAGGAGATATAGTTTTATTTGGTAATGGGGAGAGAATGAAGATTGATGATCATGAAGACCTTTTTGATGTGTATCTTGATTACCGTATTTCTGCTCTTTATGGTTGTTTTGCTCCAATGTATGGGTGGAAAAATAGTATTGAATCAATGATTTGTTTGCTTGAAGACCCTCAAAAAATGTACCTCTTGTATTTGGAAAAAGAAAAAATGAAAAAAGATGAGGATGAGGAGGAAGAGGAAGAGGAAGAGAAAATTTTTGGAAATGAGAAGGTAAATAACAATCAAGACAACGAGGGTGGCATCTATGATCAAGACTTGAAAGATAAGGATAAAAAGAAAATTTGGATGAAGGCAATTGCTCAAACCATAAAGGAGAACAAGAAAAAGGACAAAAAAAAACAGAATAAGAAAGAGCCTTCTCAGAGAAAAAGCCAATTGAAGTGTGATAAAGGAAAGAAGGGGGATAATTCCACTCAATGTAAGAAAAACAGAGGAGAAAGAAAAGAGGAAGGTGACAATCTTTTGACATTTGAGGAGTTTTTTATGATGAAGTATAAATTCTTTGGAAATAAGCTTATCTTTTTTATTACAAGTTTGTACACCCATATGCCAACTTCATTCATTTCACTAGAAGTAGCAAAGAAGATGATAAAAGCTGTTGATCTGTTGAAGTCTGTTGGAACTTTGCTAAATACTAGTGCTTCGGCAAATGAGGGTTTGAGAGTAGTCTTCAATGGAATTGAAGATGAAAGAAGCAGTGTTCATCGATTAGCGAAGTTGAGTTCAGCCAAGAGCAATTGCCTTAGAGTACTAAGATTCCTTCGCCAATCAATATTGTTGCCAAACAATATGACTGATGAATATCTAATTCGAAGTTTTTGCTTGCAAAACGCATGCTTGATATTCTGCACTGTTTCAAGCTCTGCTAAATTGCACACAGAAGGAATGACACCACTAGAACTATTGGTTATTGATGAGGCTGCTCAGCTCAAAGAATGTGAGTCTACAATTCCCTTGCAGCTCCTTGGTCTTCGTCATGCTATACTCATTGGGGATGAACTACAACTTCCTGCAATGGTCCAAAGCGAGGTTTCTAATCCAATTTTCCTTTTTCTTCATTAATCTTTGAAAGTTATTTGAATTTGTTTTTTTCTCCTTCTATTGATATGATGAAAATTTTGATTAATAGATTTGTGAAAAGGCTGACTTTGGAAGAAGCTTATTTGAGAAGCTGGTGTTATTAGGACATAAAAAGCATCTTCTTGAAGTCCAGTATAGAATGCATCCATCGATAAGCTTATTTCCAAATAGGGAATTCTACCACAATAAGGTTTTGGATGGTCCAAATGTCATACAGAGAACATATGAGAAACGCTTCCTTCAAGGAAAGATGTTTGGCTCCTACTCTTTTATAAATGTAGCCTCTGGCAAAGAGTGCTTTGATGATAGGTATAGTAGGAAAAACATGGTGGAGGTAGCTGTGGTTGTTGAGATTGTTGCAACCCTTTTTAAAGGTAATTTTACTATCAACAAAAAAATTTGCTTTGATCAATAAGTGAGGTTTCTGATTATTATTATTATTATTTTCTACAGAATCAGTGGCATCAAAACAGAAGGTAAGGGTTGGTTGCATATCACCATATAAAGCTCAAGTATTCGCACTTAAAGATAAACTTGAAAAGACATACAGTACAGATGCGAACAGTGACTTCTCTGTGAGTGTTCGATCTGTTGATGGGTTTCAAGGTGGTGAGGAGGATGTGATAATTATCTCTACCGTGAGATGTAATGGGCGTGGATCAGTGGGCTTCCTTTCCAATCGTCAAAGAACAAATGTGGCTCTGACTCGAGCAAGGTATTACTTTTTGTATTAACTTAACATTATGGTAATCGACCTTGATATATGTGTCGTAATAAGCTTTAATGTGTGATTTCTTGATACAGGCATTGCCTTTGGGTATTGGGGAACGGCGCTACATTAATCAATAGTGGCACTGTTTGGAAGAAATTAGTCCTAGATGCAAAGTCACGTGGTTGTTTCTACGACGCTAATGATGATAGGAACTTGGCTCAAGCTGTTTCAGGTGCCTTAGTTGAGTTTAACCAACTTGATACATTGCTCAAAACAGATTCACTACTGTTTAGTAATACAAAGTGGAAGGTATGCTACCTTTGTTTCACAACTTTTGAGATTAATATTTGAATTTCATAAATTAGGAATCCAATGAATGATGGCGGGAGGTTATAATTTGTGCCTAAACAATAACCAACTGATCGTCACCTTCATTTTTCTTTTTTGTTATAGGTTTGCTTCAGTGATGATTTTATGAAATCAATGGCTAGAATAAAGAATTTAGAGGTTCGCAAGGAAGTGCTTTCTCTTTTAGACAGGCTTTCAAATGGGTGGCGACTGAATCGTCAAAAGGACAAAGTCCTCCACATGAATGGGGCTTCTTCTGAGCTGTTGGAGCTGTACAAGGTCAACGGATTAGTGAATCTCGCATGGAGCGTAGACATTGAAAGGGAAAACTCAAAAGACTTCCAGGTTCTTAAGGTCTGGGACATTCTTCCATCGTCCGAAATACCAAAACTAGCTAATCATCTCGACACCTTCTTTGGGAATTATACAGTCGCTTTTATGAATCGTTGCAAATGCAAGAAGATCGAAGGGTATGCCTGCTGTATCTTCCTTTTTTACTTAATTTTTTTCCGATTTTATTTATTTATTCATTTTTGTCGTATTTATTTTCCTCTATAATTTTTTTAATTGCGACAGGGATGTAGTAGTCCCAATGACATGGCCAGTCGACTCAAGTGCTGGTAGGAAGACTTCTCTGGCTGATGCTGATCATGTTCGGTTCTTAGAAAGCCAAGTAGCTTCGCTAAGTTTAAAGGATGAGCCAGGATCAACATCTGAATTTAGTAGGTGAGTCCTTAATTTAATTATATTACTATGTGAAGGAATTGAAACAATAAATTGAAGGCAATGTAGAGAAAAAGTGGAAGAACAGTTCAAATGTACTTTTGTGCAAATAGCATATTTAATCCTATTTTCTTTTTCTTTTTTTTTTTATTTTGTTTATGATTTTGTTTGGATAGAAGAAATCGCGTGAAGTTCAAAACGAAGAGCGAGGGAAAATCCATTGGAATGAAGCAGAGATGGGAAAAGCAGCAGTAGAGAGCAGAGCAATTTTTGGCAAATCTCTCAGACACAACAGATTGCTGCTATACTGAAGTTTGTAACTCCTTGATTGGTGATGCATTTTGGTTTCCAAGATCATAAACACTTTCCAAAATTATGAAGTCTTTATTGGTTAATTGCAATGAGCTTTGGCTGCCTTTGGAGCCTTTCATCCAAACATGGTGTCCTTAATTATCCTTGTTTCTTATACTAGTTTTGGTCTCTTTTGTTTCATGTTGTTGATTTTGATGAATTGAGCAATGTTTTTGAACGACTAAAATATATATAAATCAAGGAAAAGAACCATTTACATCAGAGGATAAAAGCTCAACTAAATGTAAATGGGGACAGGCCACCCAACTAGCAGAAAGGGTCTTGCTTGCTTGAGGTACAGCCACCCAGTGAGCTGATCTGTTTTTTGACCACCGAATCCAAGAGAAGGTCCAATTCCCACTGCGTGCTAACCAGCGGATATCAAACACCACTACCATACTCTCCCAAGGTGGGACAGTTTCTGAGACAGAGTTTAACAATAGTCTGTTGTCACTCTTAATTTCAACAGATGGGAGGTTGTGATCTTTGGCCAAAAAACATGCTAAGCGCACAGCTTGTGCTTCGGCCTGTTGGGTAGAACTATAGAGGATAGAGGAGGTTAGTCCATCAAGAAGACGTCCCTTAAAATCTCTAGGAATGGCCGCAATAGTGGCCTTTGCAGTTGCCTTGCTGAAAGTTGCATCATAACTAATTTTGAAACCACTTAGAGGAGGTGGTTGTCATCCATCTGTCTCATCATCAGAATGTGTTATAGGAGTTGTGGTTAAGCCATCATCACCACTCACCTGGTTTTGTAGCTCTAACCACGTATCTGCAATTTTTTGGAGAGTATGCCTTGGATCAACAAGGGAGTGGTTGAAGACATGGACATTTCTAGCCTTCCAAATGAACCAACCAATCATAGCCACCCCACTCAAAAAGGCTCAGCCAAAATCAGCAGAAACCTCTGTTCCCACCAAATTTACAGTCCATTGTGCCACATTTGACATTAAGCCATAATCAAAACGGAGATTTAACAACTTCCAAACTATACAGCCTTCATCCATGCACAATCAAATAACATATGCTCCACTGTTTCCAGTTCTTGCAAACACACTGGGCACACAGCCAAGGGCGAGCACCTTCGTTTGAACAAGTTTGCTTTAGTAGCTAACAAGTTTTTGCATGCTCTCCACCAAAAATGACGAATCTTGGGGGAGTATCAAGATTCCAAAGATGCTTCCAGAGATTGAGGGGAAATTGAAAAAAAGTGGAGGACTAATCATTAGGAGTACTGTCATGGGAGGCACTTGCTAAGGCATAATCAGATTTAACCGAGTAGAGACCAGGTTTGTGTGTATGCCAAACCAATATATCATCTTTACCTTTAGCCGAGATAGGGATAGTCTTGATTGCATTGATGATATCCCTGGGTATAGAATCTTGGAGAGACTCCAACTTCCACTGCTTGTGGACTAGATCAATTGCATCAGCAACAAGATTAATAGAACAATTTGGAGACCTTGGGCATGGAATCATGAAATTGCTAGTAGCTAGGATCCAATTGATTTTCCATTTGGACCTGCCACCGAGTGCCTTTCATAAGAAGCTAACGACATTTTAATAAACTAAACCAAGCCTATGAAGCCCTGGCACCTCGAGACGCATTCAAAAAATCGGATCTAGGGAAATAAAGTCCTTTGAGAATTTTTGCCCAATAGGAATTTTGGTTTCTAATCAACCTCCACCCTTGTTTGGCTAAAATGGCTTGATTAAAATTAGAGAAGTCATGAAAACCCATACCCACATGCAATTTAGATAAACACATAGATGTCCAATTTTCCCAATGTATCCCCTTATTGACTGGATCACCCTTCCACCAAAATTTCCCAATAAAGGAGTTGAACTTGTTGCAAAGACTTTGGGAGAGGGCAAAACAGGCCATAGCGTAGGATGGAATTGCTTGCACTATGGCCTTGAGCAAAATTTTCCTTCCAGCATGGGAAAAAGCTTGTTTTTCTACCCATGCATTTTGGCAACCATTCTCTCCAAAAGAAAGTTGTATGCTTCTTTTTTTGATCATCCCCATGTGGAAGAAAGGCCTAGGTATTGCACATTTGCTCTAGCATGCCTATCAATTCACTTAAATCCCTTTTCACAGCTTCCGAAGCATTAGCCGAGAACACAATTTCGGACTTGTCCAATTTTAGCAATTGGCCCGAAGCCCTACTATAAGTTTGTAGAATCTGCATCATATTTTGACAGTTTGGGTTGCTAGCTTTGAGGAAAAACATGCCATCATCAGCAAAATACAAGTGAGATAGAGTGGGACAAGTTCTCCTCATTTTCAACCTAGAGATTTGCTTGTTGTGAATGCCCCTTACAATCAGTTTAGACAAAACATCCGCCACCAATAAGAAAATATAAGGGGAGAGAGGATCCCCATGTCTAAGACCACAAGAGGGAGTCAAGAAGGCCCTCTTTTCATCATTGGCATAAATAGAAAATCGAACTGTCGTGACACACTCTATGACCCACTTCACCCAATGTTCGTCAAACCCCAACTTACCTAGAACTGTTTCAAGAAAATCCCATTGGATCCGGTCATAAGCCTTGTAAAATCTAACTTCAACGCCAAATCCATAGAACTACCCCTTCTTTTGTGTTTCAAAAAATGGAACGCCTCATGAGCCACCAAGATATTATCTTGAATAAGACTCCCGAGAACAAAAGCTGACCGGTTTGGGAAAATAAACTGGCTAAGGATCTTTTTCAACCGATTTGCCAATAATTTGGTGCTAATCTTCCTGTTAAAATTACAGAGGCTAATAGGTCTATACTGTTTGAGACTCTATGGGGCTGCCACTTTAGGGACTAAAACAAGGTTGGTATGATTCCATTCTCTCAACACAAACCCTATATCAAAGAAACTCCGGATTGCTCCACAGACAGCTGGCCCTACAATCTCCCAATGTTTCTAATAGAAGATTCCAGGAAAACCATCAGGCTGAGGTGCTTTTAGTGGCCCCAATTGGAAAGTAGCCAATTTTATCTCCTCATCTGTAATTGGCTTTGTAAGAGCTAAATTCATCTCACTAGTAACCTCCGTAGTAATCACCGTGAGGGCCTCACTCATATCTCGTACATCAGCCGCCTTAAAAAGATCTTGAAAATAGGTCAATAAAAGGTCATTGATCTCCTCATCTGTCTCTTTCCATACTCCTGTTTCAGTCTTAATCTTTACCAAGTGCTTCATTTGTCTACGCTGTGTTACCGTGGCATGAAAGAAAGCCGAGTTTTTATCCTTGTATTGAAGCCAATTTACTCTTGATCTTTGATGCGGGTACATCTCTTTGCGACTCAAAATGATCATAGGAGGCTGAGCTTGTAAATCCAGAATATCTGAACTTAAATACGCAATTCTAATTATGTTATCTCCAAATCTTGCTCTAGTCCAAGAAGAACGCCTCCGACTGCATTTTTAAAGTTTCTGGGTGAGACAATACATAGGAGACCTGGCATAATCTTTGACCCAAGAAGATGAAATAACCTCAGCACATTCAGTACTATTAGTAGTCCACATAGACTCGAATTTAAAAAGTCGAGGAACTCTCTTAGGTGGGACGTGACAATGTAATAGACGAGGGCAATGATTAGAGCCAACAAAAGCTTCATGGTGAACTTGACCATCGGGAAATTTTTGTCTCCATTCCACCGTGGCTAGAGCTTTATCAATCTGTTTTTGTTATAAGTCATAATAGTTCGGCAGATTTCGTCCCCACGCCTGACAATATATTTATTGGAGTTGGTAAGGGTAATACTGAAATTTGGATTGTTGATCCTAACTAGTTCGACAAGTTTCGGATGCTAAAGAAAATGAGATTCAAGCTCATTGGTGGCAAGGACACAGAGTATGTTCGTCACGGAATAGAGATTGTGGATCGGTTCTTCCCAGTTGATGTTTGGACGGACTACAAAGATACACTCTTAGGAAATGTTTGAAGTATTCAGAAGGGTGCGATATATTTAGTGGCTGCTACTGTTAGTGGAAAAGAATGCAAAATTACATTATGAGTCAAATGTACTTAAAAACTGTTTAGCATTATAAATTTATGTATTTTTATTTGTAATGTTCAGGTAGATAGAGGTGGACGATATAAAAACTAGTGTTGTTGAAGGTGTTTCAACAAATGATTTTAGTTGGATTGAACTTGCGTTACCTAATTTATTTTTTCAGTTGAGATTGAGATACAAACAAAAAAATATTAAGGTTGATAAAATATTGATAAAATATTTCCTTTTTTGCGCACCCAATGCCAATGGGTTGGTCAGAATAAATGTGTATGATAGGAAGTTAGATGGTAATGACAGTTTGCAGGGGTACTTTCTTTTCCCCGTGGACTGCCAGTGCAAATTAGTTTATTATAGGAATAGTTATTGTTCCATTAATGACAAACAAGTGTCATAGATGGTGAAGTATCGACTTGAAAATTCAAACATTAAAATGAGTATTACTTATTGTAAAATGAAGGGGTATTTGAAGTATTCTACAATTGAAATGCCAGAAGCTTTGCAGATAAAGGCCCCATCTATTGTTGTGTTATCTAAAAAATATACTAATGACAATGTTGATGTTTGGCATTGTGCTCTAACCAAGGCTATTTCGATCCTGACACGGACTATGTCTATGGGTTTACTAGAAAGGCGAAAAGATTTGTTGTTAGGAGGTTTTGGAAAAAGTGGTTTCGTTATTCATGAACGCAGAGGTCGTCTGAGTTTGTCTGAGATTGATGTATGCAGAGGTGGTGATGGTACTAGTGATGTTGATCCTGGTCCGTCGATTTCGAAGGTTGGTGTTAGAAAAGAGGAAGTTGATCAGAGGATCAATTGTTATGGACCTCACAAAATTTTTTGATGTTTTGTGAAATGTAATAATGAGTGTAAAAAATTGTGATGACTCTAAAGATGTAATAGTTGACGATAAAGGAAATGTAGTAAGTAAATAAAAAGTTTGAGTGGTTAAATAAATAAAACTAATAAAAATTTTCTTTAATCATAACAGTAATTACATTTACATCAAACCATTCTCTCATTTTTTAGGACATTGCATCTAATCAACTACTGTCCCCATTAATTAATATAATACGAGGAATTCTTCCTCTAATTATGAGATCTGGTTGGAATTTAACAAATACATGGAA